GTGTGTGTGTGTGTGTGTGAGAGAGAGAGAGAGAGAGAGAGTTCATAAGCAACACAGCCAGGCACAGGGTTTACCAGAACCTTCTGGGTTGCAAACTGACAGGATAGCTAAGCCTGGTTTTACTGCAAGACAAACAGCAGGTCAGATGTCACCACTCTGAGTGTTTCTCATCTTACGTTTGTGGCAGCAATGAGCCAAAGCAATATAAAAAAAATTATAATAATATGACCAGCAAAATCTGAGGGTGTAACTGTTGGCACATGTAAAATATAACTGGAAACATTAATACAAATCAACCATCTGTGCAGCGTGCAGTGCATTACACTGAATCAGAACGCTCCTCTGGGTCAAACAGCACATTTTACAGTCAAGCTCAATATCTGTGTATCAGTGTTACAGATCAGATAACTCTAAGTTCATTTTAAAGAGTCAGATTTCAACAGTCATCACTTTTCCTCCTGTAAGAACTCCAAACAGGATAAGGGCAAAGTCACATTCTGAACCGGACCATGGACACAGTATGGACCCAACTCTTCTTTCTCACGTTTTATTTTTTATTTTACTTATTTTAAGGGACCTCAAGAGCTGCAACAGTCTATTGATTTAAAATATATATAACAAAAGAGATTTGTTTGTTATATAGCCTTAAGTTGTTAGAATTTAAAGCTACAGTAAGTTGTAATAACCAATGGGCAGAACCTGTCAGTTTTTACCAAATGGATCATGGAGAATGTATAAGGGTCCAGGGAACATGCCCTCTCTAGTGAATTCAGATTTATGACCCAACAAAATGTCTCTGTCATGTCCCACAGGCACCTGCTTTCACTCATCAGAGGAAGAGGAGGCTCAGACAGGTTCAACTTAAACACAGGCGCCACCTTTAGGATGATCCGTACAATTGCCTGTAAATTAGTGTATTCGTCATGACTGTTTATTATTTTAAAATATAATTTGCTAAAAAAATAAAATAAAATACTACAGATTTGTTGATTTTAGTGTCTTTTTTTTTACATATAACTATTTATTTATTGTAACTTGTGATCACACTTTATATTATGGTAAGCAATATATGTTCTTGTGAGTGTAAATAATTATGACACTACACGGTATTTGTTTAAAATATCCCTAACCATAAGGTGGCCACTATAACCACAGACCATATATATAGTCAAACCATACACAAGACATAAGGGCAAATGACAAGTAGGACACTTTCTTTCTGAACGTGAAGTTGCACGGAACAATTTCACTGCGGACCGGTGTACACAGAAACCAGTTCCGGGTTTTGCTGACTAGCTGAAAATAAATCTTCGTCACACATTCAGCGGTAAGAAACGTTAATTTAGGTTTTACTGGGCGTTACTTGTTGTTGTGTCACCAATTAATGGCCCGTCATTTCTTTTAGAGAAATCAAGAGAAAGACATTTTAACTTTTTGAACGTTCATTAGCACCTTTAGCTAGCGAAGCTAACGCGAACTCRTTTCAAAGCATTTACACATAAAAATTGTCACGACTGATATAAACGGGAGAATGGTGCTTTGAAATTGATGCCGTAGATAATTCCTTTTTTCTTTTTACTTCCTACACATTTCAATTAACCACTTGATCTTATCAGAAGTTAGACAGCGAGCGTCAAAAACGAACTAAACAGAAAAGGCCAGGGCAATTATGACTTTATCTTTTGTAACAACTTTACATACTTGAACTGAGTCTGCTTTATGTTCCTGTATCTCTGATACAAACAAATGCCTATCTGATCGTCTAAATGTTGCTGTTCTGTTTTCACACCCAGGACTGACAGAAATCCCGGAACAAAATGGGTGAGAGATCCGTTTTTACACAATAACTGTATCTTTCGATGCCTTTAATATCCTCACTTTTTAAAACCAGTTTGTTGATATGTAGTTAATCAGTGAGTAATTAAAAAATGGGAACCAAAGCACTCAAACCTTTTTAGTATTTATTTGCAACAGTGTAAAATTAAATATCATATTTGATATGGTGTTTTGATGATTGACAGATGGTGAGGAGCGGACCTATGGTGGCTGTGAAGGGCCAGATGCCATGTATGTGAAGCTGATCTCCTCAGATGGCCATGAATTTATTGTGAAAAGAGAACATGCCTTGACATCTGGAACCATCAAAGCCATGTTAAGTGGGCCAGGTGAGAATTCAGACAGAACAACCCAATATGTTGAACTCTCAGACCTGGAAATGGAAGTAATTGTGGTAATTGTTCTGAAAAGTGTTACACAGTTTAAGTTTAGCTTTGATTTTGGAGTTTAGTGCTCAGCAGTCGCTCACCTGTGTTTTTCTTTTTTGTTCATCTTGATCGCTTGTGTATCCCTTTTTTAAGCATTGAAGGATGTTAACATATAATGCCAGTAGGTGTGCGTGAGGGTGTGTGGCTGGATGGTTGCATGTATGTGTCCCTGTGATAGACTTGCAACCTGTCCAGGGTGTACTCTGCCTCCCACACAGTGAGAGCTGGAGATTGGCACCAGCTCCCCTACATCCCTGTACAGAAAAGCGGTTAAAGGAAATGATGGTTGGATTTGTAAACACAGCAACCAACAGTGTGTGTCCCTGTGATAGACTTGCARCAGYGTGACATCTGACTCTGGCTTCAAAAGGTTTTCCTAAAGGCCCTGTCACACTAGAGTTTAGACAACCTATGCCAACTTATGAAACAATTTTTTTATGTCTAAATTGATAATAAAAGTTATATATTTGATAATTTTTTTTCGAACTGGATTACACTCCAAAAAAACTTCCTGTTGACTTTTTCAATTCCATCTTCAATGTAGATGTCTTTAAAATGTTCATAAGTTGTCTAGTGTGACAGGGCCTTAAATCTATGCAGTGACATCCGCTAAAGAATCATGTCCTTTATAAATACAAATTGTTTTCTTTAACTTGCTTAATTTTGCCACGTATCACGATTTTTACTTTGTTTTAATTTTTTTTAATAAATAGAAACAATCTAAAAGCTCAAAAAGAAAAAAATAGTATAGGTCTTCTGGACGGGTTCTTCTCTAATGAAACGTTTCGTCTCTCCTCCAAGAGACTTCTTCAGTCTGAGAGTTTCAGGCAAAATTCAGGCTTTTAAGCCCTGCYTCCATGTGACTGATACTCACATCACATGGCTATCGTTGACACCTAATTAACACYTATTGTTAACAGGGGGTGGAGTGATACTGGCAATAGCCGTGCTGTAGGAGGGGGACAACTGAAAACGGAGGCCTCCACCTCTGTTTAATGATGGACGGTCTTTCTTCACAAAAATGGCTTCTTTTACTCCTCTCTCAAACCAACAATCCTCTCTATCAAGAATGAGAACATCCTCATCTCTGAAAGAGTGACCGCTGGCCTGTAAATGAGTGAAAACTGCAGAGTTCTGGCCATTAGATGTAACTCGTCTGTGTTGGGACATTCTTTTGAACAGTGGCAGACAGAATGTCCCAACACAGACGAGCTACATCTAATGGCCAGAACTCTGCAGTTTTCACTCATTTACAGGCCAGCGGTCACTCTTTCAGAGATGAGGATGTTCTCATTCTTGATAGAGAGGAACGTTGGTTTGAGAGAGGAGTAAAAGAAGCCATTTTTGTGAAGAAAGACCGTCCATCATTAAACAGAGGTGGAGGCCTCCGTTTTCAGTTGTCCCCCTCCTACAGTGCTGCTATTGCCAGTATCACTCCACCCCCTGTTAACAATAAGTGTTAATTAGGTGTCAACGATAGCCATGTGATGTGAGTATCAGTCACATGGAGGCAGTGCCTAAAAGCCTGAATTTTGCCTGAAACTCTCAGACTGAAGAAGTCTCTTGGAGGAGAGACGAAACGTTTCATTAGAGAAGAACCCGTCCAGAAGACCTATACAATTTTTTTCTTTTTGATTTTTTACCTGGATTACTGAGATGCATCAGGACAATCTAAAAGCTACACGGTACTTTACAAAGTGCTCAGGTTTTTGTGTTGTGATGCCCCTGTTTCTATGATTTAGCTTTTTTAACCACAGAAGTGCTAAATAATTTTGATTTATTAATATTATTAAATAGATAACCTGGAAACTAAGTGCTGAATAGATTTTTCCACTCGTTTACCCGCAGGACAATTTGCTGAGAATGAAACCAATGAAGTGAACTTCAGGGAGATACCGTCTCACGTCCTGTCCAAGGTGTGCATGTATTTCACCTACAAGGTCCGCTACACCAACAGCTCCACAGAAATACCCGAATTCCCCATCGCTCCCGAGATCGCACTGGAACTGCTCATGGCCGCAAACTTTTTGGATTGCTAAAAGTTCAAAATGAATGTGCAAAAAATGTAAAACTGATTTTTGAGTATTTAACTTTTGTTTTGCCATGTATTTCACGTGACACATTTTTTGTTTTTCTGTTTGTTTTTGCTTTGTGTGTTTGTCAAAATTGACTTAGTATTACAAAATATGCCATTTTAAAAAGGCTGGGAAAAAAATGGAGAAAACTGCATCCCTACAAAAATCCTCACCTCTTCATCTTAATAAAGACCTATTTGGTGAGCGCTTTGTTTTTGTTTTGTTTTTGTCTTCTCTGTTGCACCTGATGAAATTCAGGCATCTTAAGTGACACATGTAATCATGCCATTTACTTTAGAGCATTTGTTCTGTTCAAACACAGAGCAGATATATGTATAAAATACATTCGTTTACTTTGTGTCATTATTGCAACTACATATATTGCAAAATAATTTACAGATGTTGACAGATGGATTGCCCAACTTAGGTTTTTTTTAGGTTACATGACAAACAGTATTTTCAGCTGCTTTAAAAATAATATTTACAAATGTAAGTTCTGTTATCTATAGTAAGGAAATTGTTGTGTACTTTCTAGTTAAACAAGTGTTGTTCAGTTTGCACAAACATTAAAATCCAGGGTTTAAATTATGTACAATAGATGAAGAAAATACATACAAATTCAAAAAAATAAAAGTTAGCAGAAAGAAGAAAAAACTCATAAAAAATCTATAATTTGAACTTAATATGAGAATAGAAGTCTTGTGCGTCCATCTRGCAATTCTATATTTCAGTTTTGATTAAATCAATAGGGTGAGAGCTTGTATTGCAGCTCATTTAACTCGAATATTTTCCTTTAAAGCAGGGAATTTGATAAAAACGTTTGTTCACATAGGATCATTGTTTACTCTTAAAAAGTTTTAATCATAAGTGAAAAGTTTAACACACTAAAGCAGTGGTTCCCAAACTTTTTATCTTCTGACCCACAAATGGCAAAAGCTTGTGACCCCAAATATTACTGGTCTGAGTACACGAACTTTGTTAATAACCATAAAAACACAGGCTTTTTGACAATCTAAACAGCTTGTACACAAATATAAATACTTATTAATACTTATTTTGTGTTTTTGTAATAGTTATAGGGAAAATATTACATCAGCAGTTATTTTATTACCCTTTAAATTGATTTCTGGAGATTATCCAAGGTGCTTCATGACCCATAATTGGGTCCCAAGCCCAACTTTGGGAACCAAAGTGCAGTGGTTCCCAAACTTTTCAGCTTTTGACCCACAAAATAACAGTAGCAGGGTCCTGTGCCCCCAACTATTTTTGGTTGATAAATATTTGTATCAGGTCAACTAAACATGGGCATAGTAACAATATTTTTATACCACATTTATCCATTTTAAATATACTAACCTCACTCCTTTGTAACAACTAAGGCAAAAATGTAATTAATTCACAAAATCTTTTCAGGACCCAAACTTGATGTTTCGGGACCCCACTTTGGGTCCCGACCCCAATTTTGGGAAACACTGCTCTGAAGCAAGGTTTCTTTAGATTCATTAAAGATTTGAAAAAGAAGAGATATATGTTAATGTCAAAGCATCTTCAAATCATGAAAATCCTTGTAATCAGGGTGTGTGATAAAAGTTAACATTTTAAATGAGTATTTGACTTAAAGTGTGATCATGCGGCTTAGTGGATATTTTGCTCACAAGGGGAAACTCATTGTGGATTAAATCCAGTTTAATCCAAGATTGCATACTTCTCTTTTGATAGCCAGTTTTATAAAGTTATTATTTTATTTTCTATCGCAGTCCTTAATTAGACCAATAAAGACAAAAATGTAACTAAGAGGTGCCCTGGGTGTTGGCCCTGCCGCTACATCTGTCAGTGGGAAAAAAAATCTCTAGTCAAAACAACCTTCCTTGGTCACGTGACCGCGCTGACGTAGCGTCCTCCTCTCTGCGTTGATGCAGGAGGGGGGGTTTCCAACATGGCGTCGATGCAGGTAAGAATACAATTGACATCGAGCGCATATTTATCATTTTCGCCGGGTCTCCGCTTTGGTTTGTTTTCGTTGTTTACGAACCACTTCGCTTTGCTGTACGTATAGGTTGAAAAGCCGCCATGACACGGAGGTAAAACGCCGTGACATTCCGTTTTAAACCTCCCAGGTTCAGCGTTCGGGTCTTTGGCGAGCAACACAACTAGCCCCATCATCACCACCACCAACATAGACGCCCGGACAGAAAACTAGCTTCCCAGAACTAGCTTTGCGCGGGGATTTATTTATTTATTTTGGAGGGGGTGGAGAACAGGGTTGATAATTCGCGGAGTGTGGTGTAAAAGTCGTTAAAAAATGTCCGACTAACAGTCGGTGTTGCTGTTTTGGTCGACGTTTTCCGCATCCAGCTAACGAGACGCTGCGCAGATTGACGAGCAGCTGCGGCTTCCCGCTGACCTGAACAGGTGTTTCCATTCAAAACAACTGGACATGTTTCCCCCAAAAACCTCCATCGGAGCAAAAAATGCCCCAAAACTCACTTTTCAAGAAAACTCAATAAATCCATTTGTTACTTTTTTTTCCTGTTTCAGATAGTTTTAAGTAAAGTTTTGAGGATAAGCAGTCACATCATGAATATGATCTTATAATGTTTTTAAAACACGGTTTATGTGCTAATTAGCAGTAAATAAACGTGAATGAAAATTTAATCACATAAATTAGAGATCAGAAAAAAGTAGAAAAGCTGGATGAATAATAATAAAACAGCACATAAAGTAATATGTCTCAAATAAATGAAGTAATTACGTTATCTTTTTGTAGTTTATTGTTTCATTTTGATTCAGTTTTAAAATCTAAATGAAATGATGGAATATGGATATTTTTCTCTGTACTGTTTGCTTAATGCTATGTTTTAGCRTCTTGACAGCAGTATAAATATTTTTAAAATGTTTTTTTTTTCAACAGAAAAGGCTACAAAAGGAATTGTTAGCCCTGCAAAATGATCCGCCCCCAGGAATGACGCTGAATGAGAAAAGTGTACAGAACACCATCACGCAGTAAGTACCTCTGTTCTGCTGGAGCAGCATCACTCAGATCTGAACTGATCGCTGACAAAAAGCCGGTTTCCGTGATCAAACACACATCACCTGTGTGAAATGGTGTGTTTTTTGGTTGTGTGGAATAATCACTGYTGGTGCAACAGTTTCAGTCGGAGCTCCTGTAGTGAGGAAGAATTGGGGTCATCCCAGTGACCGGCAGCTCTAGCCCCTCAGAAGAGACTCTCTAATGCAGAGTGTCACTATTGGCCCTCATAAAATATTTAAAGCCTGGTGAGCAGGAGTTGAGCTTGAGTAACAAGGAACTTTACTGACATTTCTGCCTCCTTTAAAGCCACATTAGTTGTTGTTTTAATGGATGGGCTGTCATTTTCTCTTCGTTTAAATGTGTTTTTTAAAGCTTTAAAGGTTGTGACCTTGTTTATGTGTTTTGTTTTTTCCAGCATCACTGCTGCGTTTTGCAGCCTCCAAAAAGCTGTGTATTACTTGTCATTTTTTAAGTAAATCTGATTTAAAGGACTGATTAAATACTTTTCCGTCTTCCTCGTTACAAAGCAGTCAAAGGAATCGGCTGTTGYGCATGACTGACAAGTCTCCCAACCAGTTCAGCTGGCTTCTGTGTTCAGGTTTTGGATGGTATGTGTGGGAGTGCCTGTTTTCAGGTGTAGTGATTGACAGCGGTGGAGATTTGCCCTTCAGTCCTCAGTGTTTTTCTGCTTTACGCTGAATCTGATCTTATCCAAACTGGGGAAACAAAACAACTCTGCCATGTGGCGACAATAAGAGGACAGCGTGTCGTCAGTTTTATAGCTTTGTTTCTAGTACAGCCTGACTCTCTGGGCTGCTCATTAGATTATTATTTGATAAGAAGCCAGCCTTGTAAACAGGAAAACCACCGCTTTAAATCTCTGTTGTTTCTCACATAAACGCGTTTACATGGTATGACTTGTTTTGTTTCTCTGAAAGACTTATTGTTTGCTTTGTTGCCCGAGTCTTATAATCAGCAGTTTATGGGGGACAGTGAACATTTTGAACATCTTGTTCTAGACTGTTTTCTGCATAGATTATATCAGAAATTTTACTGTGACCATGCTTTTATCTGAACTCTAAACCACAAGGAAGAACGGGCTCCTTTCTGAGTCATTGAGACTGACATGTCAAGGAGATCTGATCATATTTCTCTGGTTTTGTATTATAAACACACAAGCCTATCACAAATGAGTTTAATGTACTGTCTGTATCGTTTGAAAATAAACATTTGGCTCATAGATTGTCTCCAGGTTTCTCCATGGAGCAGTTTTTTCCCCCTCCATATTTAAACATTTGGTTTGTTCGGTTTAACTGCATTTAATCTTGGTGACTTGTCGCAGGTGATACTGCCTGCCTTTTGTATTTGCAACCCTTACATCAGGATTGAATTGCCACCAGCACAGTGTTGCAGCCGAGCGACTGAAGCAAAAATAGATTCTATCCACAAAATCAATGGAGGATCACATTATTACAAAACCACTGTCAAAAAAACCCTGCTGAATATTGAATGTCACTGGTGTCAGACAGAGAGCTTTTGGTTCTAGTTATTGCGGAGTTGGCAGCACACTTTGTGGTTTTATTTTTTATATAATTTAAAAAAAAACCTCTCTACTTTAATTTTTATTTGTTCTTTTTGCATCAGTATGTTTAAATTCCAGCAGCAATTTCCATCTAATCTGCGGCTGTTGGAGTTTCTCGTTTGCGGATCGGTGAAAGCAGGCGGGATGTACTTTGTGCATCAGGAAGAAAGGCAGGCCTTTTTGTGTTGACTTTCTGTAAACAATTAAATTAGGAACGAGTTATGAAATTTGTGTTTCTAACTAATGGTGAGATTGCACACTGACATGTRATGTATGAGGCTGGCAAGCTCCCTCCTGTAAACCAAACCAGCATGGAATTAGATCTTTGAGACYGAAAGTCGCTGTAATGCTTGTATTTGGTTATTGTACAATCTTAGTATAACATTATTTTAGMCCCATATATTTTATCATTCAGTCTATATAATTTGGTGATTTAAGAATTGAAAGAATAACAAATATAAAGTAAAAAAAAAGAAATTTTACATCTAAAAACAAGCAAACAAACAAAAAATCCCTGAAGATTTTTAGTAGTCACAGGTAAACATTTTTGTACGTCTGTTGACACTGACTGTGCTTTGGGTATCCTGTCTTTATCTTTGGGTGATCGGAGATTTTTAACATCTTCCTTTTTGTTTTGTTTAGATGGATTGTAGATATGGAAGGAGCGCCCGGCACACTGTATGAAGGAGAGAAATTTCAGCTGCTTTTCAAATTTAGTAGTCGATATCCTTTTGATTCACCTCAGGTAAGAGCTGACCCCATCAGTGTTTGTGTGAAATCATTCATGGCAGTTTGAAGCATTTGGCTGGAATTTGTTCAATGATTTTACATGTTTTGTTTTAAGACCATAGCATTTTTTTTTCTTTCAGCTGCATCATTGTGCAGAAACAACTGAGCTCTTTAAACATTAACTTTTCAAACATGAAGGCCAGATTGTCAAAACAGTCCCACTACCTGCTGCAGTGCAGTTTTGGTCTGCTGAATAAAACACTTGTGTTGCATTTTGTACGTCTTGTCCTAAACCTTAAACTGTTTTTGTCCTGACCCCACTAAAACCACAGTAGATGAATGTATCAGTGACACAGTTACCACCGCTGATCCTCACTGTTTTAAACGTTATTTTATAACAAAAATGTATTGTTTTTGGTTCAAAATCCTGACTTTTGTTTGCATTGTTTATATACAAAATTGTAGAAATTTGTATAATATTCCAGAAGAACTTTATTTCTAAAGTGGACRAACCCAGAATCAGCCCTCAGGTGACTTACCGTAGTCTTTTTTTTCCTTTGGCACAAATTGACTACGGTAMTTATTATTCAGGAAGTTAACTTGGTCAACTTAAATCCAATAAGGGCAAASTAACATTTTTATGTATCTGACCAAAAGTCCAAAACTAACACAGTTGAAGGATTTAAAACATGATAAAATATTGTGCAGAAAGTTATCATCTGAGAGAGCTTAAGGACAAAAGCAAATAGATGAATTTTAAGTTGTAGGTCAAACTAGTGTTGCACCGATTATTAAAAATAATTGATTATGTAGAATAAAAAAATGCCTCATAGATCCTTTTTTCAGTGATGGACCACTTTGTGCTGAAGCAAACWAATTTTTGTTAGTTTACCTTTCAGAAAACTGTCTCGAAAGCAAAGCTATCAGTTATGCTAACGTGAGCTAAAGCATTAAGTGCTTCATATTAAATCACTGAATTGTAATAATTTATCCAGTCTTGTATTTTTGTTAGAAATACTCATAAGCGTTTAAGGTTAAGTTTTATGTATCATTATTTTCATATATCAACTAATTGATTAATCATAAAAATAACCCACAGACTAGTCGAGTATTAAAATAATGGTTAGGTGCAGCAGTAGGTCAAACCCTGCAGATTGCATATAGCACCTTTCTGCTGCAACACTTGGATTTTCAAGGTGTCAGGAGTTAATATTCCAAGGATTTGCCAGCAAAGAGCTTGTTTGCCCTGATATTTTAACTCCAGGTGTTATCTGTGCTTTCTGTTCATATCTGCGGCTCTCTCCTCTAAGCTCGTACGGTGCCAGACTGCCTGAACTCATTGTTACTCTTCACCCCCCTCACCCAACCTCCTCCCAGCTGTTGCACCTCAGGCATGACGTCCTTTCCGGTATCTTTCCATTTAGCTGTTACTCTTGTGCCATTTTAATAGCTAATACTCCCCAGCTCTATTTATAAAATATGTCCAGTGTGTTTCACGTCTCCTGTTTTAGTCTGCTGGCCCATATTCCTCTCTTCAAGCCTCTCACCTCCTCTAGGCCCCAGTGTCCTAATCCCAGAGCCTCATGTAGCCTCAAAGAGTGAGGTCTGAGTTCATACAGCAAGTCTTATTATTTTATTTCTAATGCAATAGTTTTAGCATAAAAATGCCCATAATTTAGTGTCAGWGTAGTGGAGTTTTTTTCTTASATATTCAGTTTATTACCCTGATAGTGGTGCTCAGTTTTTTTGTGACATGTCCCCTATTTGGAGGAACAAATTGTTTTAGTCCCTCCCAACCCCTCAGGCTCCAGATCAAAATAGTAACAATGTGTCAAGTATTAAAATATAATCATGCTTATTAAATGACATGACATTGTAACCCTTTTTTCTTTTTTGTTATAAAGTATTGTTAAATTTGAAAACAAAAACAGTTGAGGTACGACGTCACGTCCTCTAGGGCAGGGGTTCTTAATGTTTTTGACCTCGGGGCCCAACTTGTTGAACATAAAGTGGCACAAGGCCCAGTTAGACATTACCAATGTACGTATCAAAATGATAATTATTCTAAATCTTGGTTTAATTTTTATTGTGTTTGCATTATAACTAAATTAAATACACTTACAAATACACAAATAATCACAGCACATTTTTTTAATATTGTAACCTGCCCATAACAATTATTTAAACAAATACAACGGTCAGTCAGCAGACCACTCAGGCTTATGAACGCAAAAATATATTTTTAACATAAACAATAACAAAAAAGACAATTCAATAACTAAAATTGTCATAAAATAAATACATTCAAAATGTTCAATGTTTCAAATTAATAAGATCTGTAAAAATAAATTTGATAAAGTACAAATGAAACTATAGTCTTTTTAAACTTTTGCATGGTAGAACCAGAAGCTGCTCTTCACATTAGTGACAAACTTTGGTCTATTTTGACAGTTTGCCTTTGTTTTTGCCTTCTACTTTTCGTGTAAAATAGTTTTCCATTCTCTGCTGGTGGCTAATRTTCTTCTTCTACGTATTAAAAAAAGTTGTTAAACTTCTGAGTGGCGCACTACTGCTACTAGTGGTGAGAAATTGTATCGCACGTTATTCTAAATCAATGTGGTCACGTGTCCCTTTGCGGCCCAAAGTTAAAAACTGTTGTTCTTTTGAGGCCCTCAAGGTGGCCCATGGGTTAAGAATCTCTGCTCTGATGGACCCCACCCCACAGTTTGAGAACTACAGCCCTAATACCCACTCATGGCTTTTCTCTGCTTGTGCAGGTAATGTTCACAGGAGAGAATATACCTGTCCACCCACATGTGTATAGCAACGGTCACATCTGTTTATCTATTCTGACGGAAGATTGGTCACCAGCGCTCTCAGTGCAATCAGTTTGTCTTAGCATTATCAGCATGTTGTCTAGCTGCAAAGAAAAGGTACGTATGCCTTGTAGTAAGGTTGTTTGACATTTCTGCTCTTTTTAAACAATAACTTTTTTTCCCCCCTGCAGCGACGACCGCCTGATAACTCGTTTTATGTAAGAACRTGTAACAAAAACCCAAAGAAAACAAAATGGTGGTATCATGGTGAGTGTTTTCTATGACCACACACTTTTCATATTGATTTGGAGGGTGCAGATAATTCAAAATCTGTATTTTTCCCCTCTTCATTTTCACAGATGATACCTGCTAATGTACAAACTTTGTAATAATCGTAGAAGAAAGAAGTCCTACTGACCTACATAAAGCACTTTTTAATTATTCAGTCTTTGAACTCTGACCTTTGACTGGAACAATGGAAACCAAGCGCTGGAGACTCTTGACCGCATTTCCTGAAGGGGGCAGTTGGCTGCATGATTTAGTCGGTTGTAACATAGAACATGAAACGTAAACGGACATCTACAAGTACACCAGATGTATCGTTTTTGGCTAGCGGTTTGTAATGCGGCGAGCGAAAGAAGGCATATTTATAGTCAGACAATTAAATTTCCTGTGTTACGATTATTATTATTATTATTATTTGTTTTTTTTTTTTCTTGTGGGTGCTTTAAGGTTTTGTGTTGTGCAATAATGATTGATGAATGCATGCTGGGGCCTACAAAGAGACATCCAAATGTTAACAWCTAGAAGGGATCTGACCACCGAAAGCCCAAGAAATGCTTCATCAGTTTTTGTTTTTCTTCATTATTATTATTAATATTTTTACATACACTGTGCRAGTATCTGGTTTGGAAAGGAACTATTTGTATGTTATCCACCAACTGCAGATGTACTGTAAGTAGTCCTCCTACTCATCAGGTTTTTGTTTGTAACTGCCCATTGCACGCTTCTTTTTTTTTTTTCCTTCTTCCAGCTCGACCCCGGTTTGCAGTTCTTCCTGCTGTTGGACAGAGTGTCGGTACGGACGGGGAGAAAGCAGATAGTGATAGATGCTGCGCCCATCTGATAACCTCCTCTCAAGGTTGGGCCCAGTTAGTCGAGCCTTTTAAAGATGTGCAGCAGCAGCAGCCTCTCTTCCATTTAAAGAATGTCTGCGGGAGAACATCTGTTGCGTGATTTTGTTTTTATATGTACGATGTATATTTTTAAATTAACATGCTTTATTTTTTTTCTCCTGATTTTAAATGTGTTTTTGTACCTTTTTTTTGACTAGCTGATACTTTGAAAGGAGGGTTATTTTGATGGGTCAGTATGATTTTTTTTTTTGTATTTGTTTTTTAATTTAAAACCTCAATTGAGCTCAAGAGCAGCAATGAATGACTAAAAGGAGAGTGTGTGTTGAAGTCCTAAAGATAACTCTTTTGTGATTTCCCTCACCATGTCAGAGTTTTGGCTCAGGTACTTTTTTCAATAAAGAGATCGCCTCTAAAAATAATACCTATTAAATATTTTGAATTTCGCTATATTTTCACCAGAAGAAATTGTCATGTTGAACGCTTGTCTGAAACTATTGTATATAAGTCTTTAAAATGTCTGAAATGATGGACCTTAGCTGGGGATGCACATAGGGTTTCATCTGAATGATTAAAAAGATTTTTTTTTAAATTTTATTTTCAAATTAGGTTTTGTACAGTCAAAATCAAACAATTTTGGTTATAAAACAATCCGTAGTTTTACAGTGGGGATGCATGCAGTTTTAACCCTTCAAGTCTTTCCAGAACTTTAGCTCTTTTGCATCACAAAGCTCACCTCCAGAGACTGTGGTCATTTCAGGCAGTAATCATCTCATTCCTAAACAAATGTTTATATCCACTCAAAGATACTTGAAGTTTTCAACATGAATTGTCTGTAGTTATGTTTCTCCAGAGTTTTAAATGAAATTGAGTGAATGTTATTATGTCGAGGGGGAAAAAATCCCAGCTATCTCAAAAACTTAAGTGTTACCACCCAATGATTTTTTTTCTCCCCTTCATTGCAGTGAGTTTYGGTTAAATTATTGCAAATGCAGTCATAACCATAAATGTGCAGAGACAGAAAAGCCTTCATCCAGTAGGCAGCAGAWCACAAGCGATACGAGTGAAAAAGTTATTTTATTTTTAGTTTGTTTTGGTTGTATTATTATTATTTTTTTCGGTGTGGTTTGAACTTTTAGCTTGCAGGCTGTCATGGGAGTGATTGACGCTAAAGAGGGTGTGCTATTTATATTTGAAATTTTTATCCTGGGATGTGCAAGCTCCATGTAATAGGTGCCTGTTCATTTTCATAATCAACAATAAAAGCGTAATTTAACTTTTATTTACCTTTTTGTTTGCACCGTATTTATGTGAAAGTGTCACTTATTTAACTTCTCTATCAAATTTTTATATTTACCAGTAATTATATTTTTTCTGCTATAAATTTAAACCATCCCTGCAGTAAATGGAACAAAAACAAAAGTATAAACAATTTCTGTTTTTTTATGCAGAACAGCAACACATGAAAATATGGTCCAGTGGCGCCCTCTATTGGCTAGGCCATGGTAGTTCTGGTAAAACAAAACAAAAAAAAAACAGAAGTTGCAGGTCTTCATTTTAACTAGTTAAAGAAAAATGGGGTAAACATTTGCTGAAGTGCAGTGTACACGATGTCCTGCATGAGGTTTGATGCTRTGGGGGACCACAAGCAACACCTGTAAATCTTTTCTGCATCTATTGCTGCTAATAATTGTTTAAATAACTTGTTGCATTTTAAACATTATATATTCTAGATAGATATACCTTACAGAAAACATTTTATGGGGATGTTGGCAAATAAAACTAGTAATTTACAACTACTTAGTTTTAGGATTTAGTAGTGCTAAAATGMATAAAATAAGGGTCATTACGATTAAATATCACAATAATAAGATACTTAGTTGTAAGTTTGAAGTAGTGTCTCATAAAGAGTTTCTAAATCGACACTACCTCGAAAATATGACTCATAATTTTGATAGTAACTCATAGGATGCTGAAAAACAATATATAACAGCATCATGACTAACTATCCAGTTTAGTCATGAAATGCAAAGTCAGCTTTAAGATAAGAAGTCATAATTTTCAAATAAGTCACGTTTTTGAGAAAATATATTGAAATATTAAGTGTTTTATTCAGTCATGTATTAATGGCTATGTTTATGGAAAACACAAAGAATGCATATAATTAAAATATGGTAATCATAACCCTCTAAACATGCATAATTATACATATGCTTTGATATAAACATACCAGTGTTGCTATACACCCTTACACCTGCAAACAAAAAGAAATATAATTTATAGTAGTCAAATAATAGATGTTATGCATCAGATATATTTACAAACATGTTTATTTGTATGTATCTGTATAATTCAGGGGCATGTGTGCCTCTCATATTGAGATAATAAATCATAAATGCTAAGTCATAATTATGTCTTTATGGCGTAAATGAGCTTCCATACCTTATAAAAGGTTGAACGGGTTTTCAAGCAAAAGTTAACTTGGAGCTGAAAGGAAGCCAACTCGGACTGAACCATTTTCATGAAGATGGGGGGGTGTCCGAGTTATTAATTCATTCGGACTTTTGCTGTATTGATGCCACGTTTTGCAATATTTACACACAAAAATCAAACAAAACTTATATTTTCAACATAAACATCATTTTAAATAATCGTTTGGTTATAAGTGAGCGTATTAAGTGTTCCTACGGAACTAACAACATGGTATGTTCCCTTCTCCATCCAGTTCTCTTTAGTGTTTGCCAATGTTGGAGGTGTAACTGGGGTCTGGCCCTGGACAAAGGTAAAATATGCATTTAAATGTTTGTCCTGTTGTAGTCTGATGCTCACCGGCTCGTACGTCAAATCACGATAGACTGAATTGGCGCTGACTTTTCGTTTGAAGCGGGTCGGTGCGGAGATGCTAAACCGAGACTGAGGGGCTCTCCCTCGGCCGTTCAGCCATGATGATGACTTGAGCCTCAACCGGCTAAACAACCGCAACCGAGGCTGGCACAGTAGAAATATATCCATCTGAGAAATGCACAGTAACACGTTCATGGCGACACACGGACCGGTGCGTGCTTTAATTCTGTTTTCAGGGGCTGACATTAGCCGGAAATGCAGTTTTCCTAATGATGCCGTTAGCCTCATGCTAAAGCTGGGCAGAGTAGTCGGAGCTGGGAGGTAGTTTGAGGGGCTGCAAAGAGTCCTGCCAGTCAGATCCAGCGATATTTACCTTTTATTTACCTGCTGAATTTGCAGCAGTGGCGTAAAGCAAGTGGTTTCACTGTTTGTGCGCCTCAGTGAGCCTGCAGCTTTATATTGTAACCTTACATGCAGATTGAGGTGAAAGTTAGGGATTCATTTGATTTAGTTTGCATTTCTTTTCTTTTTTTTCCCTTTTAATACAAATGCACATGCATTAACACTTGTCCCATCATGAATTGTTAGGACAGAGACGCCTGTTCTCATTAAAGACAAAGCAGAAGTGCTCAGTTGACATCTAAAAACATAAAAGCTGTCGCCACTGGCCTCTGTTGCTCCATTTAACTAATCASTTGAAGAAAAACTCACTAAATAACAGACATACTTTTGTAATCGCAGCCAATTAAACAATGACTAAGTGAGAAAACAAGATGCCTCAACAACAGTTACCATTAATTGATTGTTTGCTGATATTTTCTTGTAACAAAYATGAGAAAAATGCCAGCAATGCATATTTATTCATTTCTAGTTTATCTCAAGAGCCCCCCCGTTTAGTGTTTCATAACCAAACTGGGATCCCAACCCCGATTTTGGGAACCACAGAGCTAGACCACTGTTTGTAAACATTTCAGCGTCTGACATCAACTTTGTAAATTTGCTGATAAGACACTGAAACTAGGGCCTTAATCATTCATCTGTTTTCTGCTTCTCATTCGTGGTTGAATCTCAGAGGCAACATGTCCAGGAGGGAAACCCAGACCATCCCTCAGCTCAGCAGTTCCTCCTGAGGGAATCCCAAAGCATTCCCACCCAGGCCARAGAGGAGGATACTGGGTCAGTGGGGGGATGCATCCTGCTCAGATTCCTGAAGCACCTCAGTTGGCCTTTCAGTGAGGATGAGCAGCGGCTCTGTTATGAGCTCCTCGCCTTATAAGGCAAAGTTAGGCCCCCCTGATTTCAGCCACTTGTCTCAGTCATGATCCAAACCTCATGTGAAGTGAAAGTTAAAACGTAGACAGACCAGTAAATCCAGACCTTTGACTTTCGACTCAGCTCTTTGTTTTGGGTCAGTGAGTTTCGGCCTCAGTCGGGGGAGTTAAAATATCTTAGAGTCATAATGGGAATGGTTCATCTGTTTTAACTTTCTTTTTTTTTTTAAGATTTGCTCTGAACTCTGGAGATGTTGATGTGAAAGACAAGAGAAGATGCATTGAAACACTTTTGTACTTCTTAAAATTAGGCATTACACTTTTTTTAACATCACTCTATATGTTTCTCTTTAAAAAGGACATAATAGTTTATTATGTTACATATACAGAGGCCATAGTAGTGCTAAAAAGCTGTTGCATTCTGTTAAAAAAGAAAGATAAATCAAATTTATGACCCATCATATCGAAATGAGGATTAAGTCAAATTTGGTCAAAATTACCAAATTACATTTTAAAATTTCTGGCTTTAAAAAGCTATGTTTTGATACCTGGATCATTCTGATATCATAAGCTTATCAAGAGATATGACATAATTTGTCTTGTTGGTTATTATAATAGATAACTCTTTGGTCTGAATCCTAATTTTATGTAAATTTATTGAGTGGTTTTTGATGCAAATATAAAAAGGAAACCTCAAATATTATTTGTATATTAAGATTTCCCCGTTGAAAAGAAACAAAAAAAAAATTAGCTCACAGAGAAAATTTACAATTTTAAGGCGTTTTTCCTCAAAATCAGGTTTCTTTTTTACGTGACTGTAAAAAGAAAAAACTAATTACTAATAATGTTGATAAACACTTTGTTCATTTTGTATTGCTTTCTACTAGAGTTTGTCCTTCTAAATATTTCACTCAGTCAGTTTAATTYTAGTCAAAACAGTGAAAACACCTTTATTTTTCTTTTTGTAAAATTGAATCAAGACAACTGTAATCCTGACGTATTTGTTGATAACCGTAATATTTTTCTTCTTAAAGTGGTTCCACATGCTTTGTCCTTAATCAGAAAAAAAGAGTCAAACAGCCATTGTCTTGTTGAGGGTACGCTCACAGGCTACCTCCTCCTTTCCAGAGTGTTAGCAGTGGTAACATGAGGAAAGCTCCTTCAAATAAAGCTTCATTGTTTGGGTGTAGTGACTGGCTGTGGATCAGAATGTGAGATCGCTGCTCAGTTTGCTCTGCAGGCTTGGAGCACAGGTTCTGTTAAGAATGTTCTAAAACTCTTATATTTAAATAAGCTAAGATGTGCAGTTTTTGTTGTGTTAAAGTGATCTGTGACAGCTGTTTGCACGGCCAAAGCGCTTTACTAACAAACAAAAAAGACAGTTTGTTATTATTATTGGTTGTTTGCAGGAATAGAGCATGGCTCAAGTGAAAGTACAGACCGCAGCACCCCTGACTGGTCCTGGCCTCACCCCTGGAGTTCCCCCAGCGGCCATGGCCAGCTCAGGATCCCTCGGTCTGCAGTCCACCATCAACGGCACAGGCCCGGCCCCCGCACCCGYCTGCCCCGCTCCTGCAGTCGGATATGGGGACGCCCCTGTGTCTGCCTCGCCGCCAGGTACAACCCGATTACCACAGACTGCTAAAACCAGTGTGACGTCACACTTGGATGTTTTTCTTAAAGSGATCCACGATTTGTTGTAACATTAGACTTTGTTTGATAAACACACATATTTTAACTAAAATAAAGACTGTAAAAATACTGTAGGCTGTTTAGTTTTGCAAATTTTTAAAAATATATTTTAACACGGACAGAGCCWTTTTATTCACACGCAAAGCTTTCTGGGTAAATGATGACGTGGACAGGTCCTCAATGTGAGTGAACTATATCACCCTGAAGGTTAATCTTACCATACCATACCACTTTTATTTATAAAGCACTTTGAACAGCACAAGGCCAACCAAAATGCTGTACTGTAGCATTGCACTAGCGCCCATACTATATTGCCTTATATGTATTAGCTCAGCGCTAACGCGACAAACAAGCTAAACAAGCTAAACTGAGGTCCTCCATCCATATTTTCAGTTACAGACTGAGTCATTTCTACCTTCTCCTCTCTGTCAACGCTCTCTGGTTTCATTTAAAAGAGTCAATCATCAGATATTGTCCAAGATTAACCTTCAGGGTGGATATAGCTCGCTAGCAGCCTTACACCGAGGACCTGTCCATGTCATCATTTACCCAGAATGCTTTGTGTGAAAATAAAATGGCCCCGTCCGTGTAATATATTTTTAAACTTATAGTTTAAAAATTATAAAAACTAAACAGTCTACAGTATTTTTACAGTCTTTATTTTACAGTTACTGTATATACGTTTATCAAATAAGTCTAATGTTACAACTAATCATGGATCCCTTTAATAAAATGACAGAACTACATTTCTTTACCAAGTTTTATTTGGAATTGGCACAAGTGATCTATAATATAAGCTGTGTCTGTACTTTATGCCTAAGACATTAAAATAAAATCCATTTCAGTCACGTGCTGGCTGTTATTACAACATGATTTTATTCCTCAGCATTTTGTACTCCACTCTGTTCAAGGCTCGCCCGAGGAGAACATGGCAAACCCTAAAGAGAAAACTCCAATGTGCTTGGTGAATGAGTTAGCCCGTTTCAACCGGATCCAGCCACAATACAAGCTCCTCAAAGAGAGAGGTCCTGCACACGCTAAGGTAAATACAGTAGTTAAGGTTGTCCAACTATCAAGTCTTAACCCAGTTCTCGTGATGCCAAGCATGTACAGTTCCTGTCAGCTGATGTTCTGTCCTCTGTGTGTCACTGTTTCAGGTCTTCACGGTGCAGCTGACTCTTGGGGAGCAGGTGTGGGAGGCAGAGGGGACCAGCATCAAAAAGGCCCAACACTCCACTGCTGCCAAGGCTCTGGCTGAGAGCGTCCTTCCCAGGCCGGCACCCCGCTCCCCTAAAGCAGACATCAACAGCAACCCAGGTGCTGCAGCCGCCACCAAAGCTTACTAAAATACARCCCTAACATTTATTTTAAACCATTTCCTCTCTGAAGTAAGAGTTTACATATGTGCCCTTCCAAAGTAGGGTTTTTGTAGATTGTTTGAAAAAGGGGTAACTACCACAGATTGTTTCTTTAAATTCCGTCTTTTTCTCCTTCCTTGTGCACCTTTGCTCACACAGGCAGTATAACCCCCACAGTGGAGCTGAATGGTYTGGCCATGAAGCGAGGGGAACCAGCGATATACAGGCCTCTGGATCCCAAACCCTTGCCCAACTACAGAGCTAATTATAACTTCAGAGGGATGATCAACCAAAGGTGAGCACCAACGTGATTACTCCAGATTAGTTTGTTGTTCATTGTGTGATTTATTATTATAATTTTAAGAAAAAACATTCCTAATTAAAATAGGAACTCCTTTTATGACTTGCAAGTCCTGTTCCTACTTTGGTTTAAAATGGACCTTTTGAAAGTTTAGAGAACTGGATTCAGCAAAGGTATATTGTCTTTGTGAACACGATCAAGAGAAATTGGATTAACTCGAGCAGCATTGTTTCTTTAGCAGTGCGCGACTGCTCTTCTGAATAAATGAAAACTATGTAACACAGATGTTTACACTTAAATTAAAAATATTTGACMAAAGAAAACCCGGAGCAGGACTAGAGAGAGATGAATATGATTTAGATTTTTATTTCTGTGACTGTATATGACCCACAGGAGACACGACATTAACAGCAGTCGTCATTTCATTCCTCAGTTTTAGCAGGTCTGATGCTGCTAAAAATGACAGATTTTTTTTCTGGATCTCTGACAGCAGGACTTCAATCTCCGAACTYGTAAAGTTCTTCTTTTTTACTTTGCAATGTCATATATGAATGGACTTCTTGGTATGTGGGGCAGGAAACATAGCCTTATATGGTGTTTTTGGGGTGGTAGATTAGCTGATCTCTCTCCGTGCACGAGCAGCTGATATGCATTCATCAGTTTACGCAGTTCATTTACACACTTTTCCTGAAGATAGATTGTTGAATCTGACATGACATGTTCGTACGAACCCTTCATAGGAACAAAAGTAAGAGAAATTTAGGATAAGAATACGAACATGTTCTTGCATGAGGCCCAATGTCTGTACAAAAATAAAAACCCTTTAACTGAATTTAGGGAAAAAGTGCCATATTTATTTTTAACATTTTGTCTCAGACAATAGTTTGAATCATGCTCTCTCTGAGATAATCTAGTTTGATGATGTCATCAATCGCGCACCGGTGAACATTTCTGGACAACAAGCAGTTATTAACACATTTTGGTCAAATCCAGGTGTTAATTTATCTGGCTTTTGTTATCAGAAGAAAAACTGATACCGATATATAGAGACTTTACATTTTTATGCTAATATTGGACCGATAATATCTATAGGCCGATATTATCAGACATCCCTACTTCTTGGTAATAAATCTTGTACCAGGCACCTGATTGGCAGCACCTGAAGGTACCAGAAGCTCAAAACAACATACCGTATTTTTCAGACTGTAAGCCGCACCGGACTATAAGCCGCACCCCCAACATAAAAAAAACAGTACACCCAAATTTGTTGTCAAAAAAGTGAATTCAACATCAAAACATAAAAAGTAAACCTTTAGGAATTAAAGTTCGGAGGAATACGGTTCATTTAACTGACCTTATTTTGGTAGTTTTCTTTAACAGTTTCTGATCCAACAAAACGTCTCATTCGTCTTCCTCCGGTGCACTGAAACCATCGAAGTCCTCCTCTTCAGTGTCGGAGTTAAACAAGCTGAGAAAAGCTGCGTCACACAGCGGTATCTGTTCAGTGTCGGAGTTAAACAAGCTGAGAAAAGCTGCGTCACACAGCGGTATCTGTTGTCCTCCCGGGGTAATGCTGGCTCTGAAGCTGTGGTTTCCTCTTCACGTAGCAGTCCAGCC